TCAATTTTAGTCAAAGACGCTTTGACTGACCCCGAAAGGCGTTTAATTTCTGTGAAAATGACTTAACTGCGCACGAGTCCTTTAAGTATGCGTGCGTGTGAATTCTATTTACGTAAATCCTGATCGATCTGACACATTCTGCCTTTCGTGCACGTAATTTAGAACAGTTTCTCATTCGAGCCTTTAAACCCCTATTTCGCATCCATTGTACACTGCCCGGCAGAGTTAGGGGATCGCGTTTCCAAGCAATTCAGGAAAATAAATATCAAGAGTGAAAGGCCTACTATGCGTTTAATAGAGTCAAATTAAACAACACGTCTAACTTTGCAAGCTTTCAAGTATACTACATATATAAATTAACCATTTAATACATATTGAATATAAAACACGATTTACTATTCCAATTATATTCGAAAACAGTTTCTAATGAGTGAGACTGACACTCATGGAAATGAATTCCAGAGATAAGATCAAGAGACGTTTCATTAACTTAATTAAACCCTCTGCTGGTATTCGTTTCAGCAGCTTGCGGGTCTCCGACATTTGACAACGGTGGACTTTGAATTTGATAAATTACATACCATTAGAATTTAAATTAATCGTTAGAGAATATCGAAATTATATTCCATTAATAGAGGGTTCGAAAGTTCTGTTAAAAAAAAAAATAAGGGTAGTTCTTTTGTGGAGAAAATAAATACCATGATAAAAATCTCGCCTATTTATTTAGTTTCTACGTCACGGTGGAGTTTTTAAACTATTGGGTAGCTTAGTGATAAACTCGTTCGACTAGAACCTCGTTAGGCTAAACCTTTTCGCTATAATTATTTTGAAAGGTACAAACTTTCACGAAGGGACACTGCAGCGAAATAGTTTGCAAAAAGTGGGACGAGTTAATAATAAAAAAAAAAAAAAAAATGAAAGCACTCTTAGCGTATATAAAATTATAAACGATTCGAGGCAAAACAGAAAATTCAAAACACTTTCAAACATAAGATAAATTAGTATTTTTGGACAGTGAAATAAATAATATTAGCATAAATGGAGATCTCACAAAATAAACAAATGCTAGTGTTCGACGACCGTGCGGTTATTAAAAAAAAAATTATATTTCTTGCTCGTCCCTCGTAAAAACGAAGCCACGAAACTCACCAGGCTGAAGAATGCGTTCAAAGGGCAGCGATGAGCATTAACTGGAGCACAGTTTCTCGTTCCCGGTGTTCACTCACCTCGATGCCACCAAACGTCAAAGAATCATCGCGATGACCCGGCTCTGCGTGCAACACATACGCGCGTAAAAAAAAAAAGGGGGGTCGAAGGTGACCGATCGACGAGCTACATGTCTCGGGTGGTCCGAGCCGACGTGACTGGCACCGAGAACGACGGTGGACCGTCGATCCGTAGGGACGTCGAACACCTCGTGAAAAACCGCGCACACCGAGCGAAAGGTCAAGGATCGCGCGTCCAGGTCGCGATAGGCTGGCAAAAACCGTACCGCGACGATCGACGAAAAACGGTGACCTGGGAGCTGCTGCTCGTGTTCGCGGCAACGGGCGAATGAACGTCGTCGAACCAGCCAGCATAATACGACGAACGTGTTCACGGAATCCGCGCGCGTGCGAACAACGCCGCGACCTATCGCGCCGAGGAACCGTCGAAGACTGCGCGACGCGAAAGTGGGGAGGCCCTTTTTCGAAAGCATCGTTTTCTCGACGGTGGCGAGGCTTCCGGACACGGGTAACCGGGCATGCGTGCGACGGCCCACCCGATCAACGCACCGTGCACAGGGTGTGCCGAGAAACGCGCGGTTCGAGAGGCGACTCGAGGAAACACACACGGTTAGCATTTCCCGACCGAAATGCGAGTGCCATCGAAACGCAATATGCCCCGAATCCTATTTACGAGCATTAGTCGCCTGGAAGAGGACACAACGAAAACGCGAAACGGCTGTCGACGGTAAGCCCCGCCAGCTTACGCAGCTTTCCACGGTCCGTCATCTGTTACTAAGGGAATTATGGATAATATCGGCACCCGCGGGGAATATTTTCCATTATTTAGAGACTTTATATTGGACTAAGCCGAGTCCATTTTCTTAAAAATCGAACTATACATTGTACTACCCTTTTCTTGCTATAACAAAATAATATGCACACATTTGGGTTACGTGTTAAGGAACAGAGTTTTAAAGCACCGTACCTGAGAGCCAGGTCTATTTTCCTAAAAATCGAGGTGTACATTGCACTACCCTTTTCTTGCTATAACAGAATAATACGTACACATTTGTGTTATGTATTAAGTAACAAAGTTCTAAGGGCATGGGCAGCTTCAAATTTATTCGTCTATACCCAATTTGCAAACGGAAATAAACGACCTATATGTCAAATGAATATACTTCTAATAAAGCTCTTGCAATGGATACCAGAAGAATGGTACTCAAAATGTTCGAGACGTTGGGAAACAATTGGATAAGTGCACTTCTCTTTACAGTTCAGTGGTTAAACGAAAATGAAACCTAAACTAAGCCTTCCAGAAAATGTATAACTGTTCTGCAGCAATCATTATGCATTATTCTTTTACGAAAGCTGGAGAGATAATAAATACAGGAAAATATTGTATAGAATTGCAAGGGATGCAAAACAACCTATCCTCGTAAATAAACATGGCGTATTACCCTTTCGCGATAACGCCCGACTTCATGTTTCGAAAACCACGTTACAAAAATCACGTGAATCGCGATACGAAGTACTTTCGAACAATTCCTATTCTCCGGGCATGTCTCCAACTACCGTACAAATTTTATAAGATTAAGATTTTTGAATAAAAATATAATCGTTGAATCGAACAAACGTCGAAAATTTTTGCTATCCGTTTAAATGCTTTGGATATTGCGACAGAGAATGGACGGCTGTTGACAACAGTGTAATAGACGGATGTTCATGCAACCACATTGTTGGTGAGCTCACATTTAACCCTAAAACGCCACACTAGTGCCCAATGGACTCCTTGTCAACTGGACAATATCTTGAGTAACAATAGCGATGGCGACATAAATCATATTCCGTACTAAGCAGCGAGGATGGAGAGTACGGTTTAAATCGCCATAACTCAGCAGAAAAAAATTACAGCCCCTTCGGGGAAATACCGAGTTAAAGTGGATATTCCAAAGTTTAATGTCCCGGTGATAAAAGTTAAGAAAAAAATTTTTTCCCCGTCGCGTGCACGACCCGAAAATTGATGTCACGCACTAATAACGAGTTTGATCGCAGCATTCGAAGGCTGTGGCTTTAAAATTTCGAAATGCTTTTTTCCGTTTTATCGTTACACGGTTATTTTTCACGAAATTACGAATTGAACGCGTTGACACGGCAAAATATTTTCATAAAATTTGAAATGAAAGTCTGTCGATGATTTCAACATTACAAATTGACTGACACAATGTCATAAAATTCACAGCAGAATGTAGAGAATTTTTTGAGCAGCAAATAAATAATAATCACAAATTTTATTTCACATTGTTTTCAGCCGAACGCAATTAAATCCACGCTGCCCATATTACTCCACGAAGTGCCCAGGTGCCCATATTACCCCACATAGGTGACCATATTACCCTGCATTACGGAGAATATGAGCACTCTTATGTGCTACTATATTTCTTCTTGCTGCAGCTGTCAGTGTGAATAAAATTATACGGAAAGTTATATGGAGTTACAGCCAATAAAACCTTTTTATAATATGTAAATAAAACATGAGTATTTTTCTTGTTTCTTTATTTCATAAAATAAACTCAACTACGCGATAAGCTTAGGTATAAGCTCAATATCTTAGAGGATATTTCATATCTTTTCTTATGAGATTTTCACTAAAAACTAAAGTATTTACCCCCGTTTTATTTCGGTAAATAATTAAAAAGAAAAACATAAAACGTATTGTATCAATTTGAAGACAACGATACGATTATATTTATTTCATAAAATCCTTAACTCTTTGGGGATAAATTATTTCCCATAAAGTAAACGAAAATTCAAACAGATATTGATAAATGATGTCTATTAATTCTGTAACGATATTGCCGCGTTATATCATTGGGAAATTTAATCGTGAATATTCATTTGCAACTGTGACAGGTACCTCCATTCTACAGTATTTAAAATTGGGAATGGTTAAATATATGTATCGTTTGTCTCATTTAAATAAATCATTCCTAAATTTTGGCTCACGGAAATTATACAAATATGCAACTTGAATTTTGCATGATTTTTGGCTTTATATTTACTTACGATACATACTACAACAAACATAATTTGTTTATCGCAATGTTTTCCTAAATAAAACCCTAATCTAGGACTTGCAATTTAATAATTTTAATATAGAAAAATGTCGTGTAACTGAAACGTTCCTTTTTATTAATATTAGGTTGTTGCATACGAAATATCCGACGTAATTATTTACCACGTTAGTCTCATCGATTTTACTGGCTTTGAAGTATGTTAATGGGAAGAGAAATGGGGGAGGAAGAATCACTGACAAGCAGCAGTCGCGAAGGATGTTCCCCCTTCCTAAGTATTTGATAAAACTTTGTAGATTTATAAAACGATTGAAGATAAGACACAGACATTTTTTAAGCTGCGATAACGCAAGTTTAAAGGCTGAAACTACCCTCATACCTTCCGAATACAAGGAAGTTTTTCTACAAAATCTACAACATGCAGTAAAAAAAACATTCAACGTGTGTACGTGGTACCATGTCCATTATTTTTTAACACATGTGGTGCTTCTTGACATTGATAGTGGTACGAATAAAAAAATATCAATTTTGTTTTTACTACACGAATAAACTTGGTACATGGGGCTCTTTTGAAAATCATTTAAACGCCCGGAATTATAAATTCTATAATTTACTTTTGCTTCTAAGATTTTAATCGCGATCGAATCACCGTGATACCGAATTACTTTCAATACGCCATTATTCAATAATCGATTCCATAAAATAAAAGCTGACTCACCAGCCTGCTATGCCATTGGGTTGTATCTCCTGTAGAAATATGCCAAGCTCTCCTTTGTCCTTACTACGAAGACCAACAACACTGAACCCCAGGCTGGTGCCCTCTGGTTTATACAGCTTGAAAAAAAAAATTACCCCCTTATATACACATCTGTATTATATGACCCTGTATAGTAACATTAATGGAGATGAAACGTATTTCACGAACCTGCACAGTAAATATCTGTCGACCTCTTGCTGCAGCTTCAATCACTTTCTTAAATTCTTTAGCATACGTTGTTGTTGTGATTGGAGGCATTCCAATAACTTCTGATGCAAGACTTGGACTTGTAACCTACGCCAAAGTACATGCTTTGTACCTTGTTGGAAAAATACACGAATAAGTTTTGGGTGTTATTGAAATAATATCTTACTTGCGCACTTGTATCTTCGCTGCTGCTATGCACACATGGAGCAACTGGCACTCTTTGGTCCTCCAATTCGCTGCTATCTTGATATAAATCCTGGTACATATTTGGTCCCAATGGTTGCACAGGTGTGCTGGGAACTGAGAGCTCCAACTGTCCACTGATATTGATGTCAAAATCTCCAGGCAAAATAGATGGATGCTGTCCCAATTGAGTATTCAATTCGATCAGCGAGTCTTGAATTGTCACTATACTGCGGAACACAGGATCTTCCAAAAGAGAAATTAAAGATCTTATATCCTGGGTTGTATGCATCTGTAACTTAGGATCATCACAGTCCTCTACTCTTTCTTGAACATGCTCCAATAAATGGAGCGCTGTGGATATGTCTGAAATAAAATAAAGAAAACGACTTATATATGATAAAAATTCGTAATATTAAAATATATTAAATTATCTGTCAATATTCGCTTACCCACGCTTAAAGGCATTTTGATGCTGTCAGTTCTGATTTAACAAAATGAGTATAAAAGTCCTTGTGTGTCTACCTGTAAAAAAGATGTACATACGTATATAAGTACACGTATTTATGCTCTTTATGTTCAAAGTATAATGTTTGCTTTCTATTTCGCGCAATTATTTAAGTATAAAATTATCATAACCTCAATAATTGACAGGAGTTAAAAACCAGCGACTAAAATGTACCAACTATTCGATTGAGACTAATCGCTACGATCTGGTTTAGAAATTATTCGCCATTAAATAAACTGACGTTAACTTTAGCTCAACCATGAATTTATCGTAAATCGATACATGGACAATTACTTTAAGTATTAATACGATGCTAATTTACCTCAGCAAAATTCCGTTATGAAATTCAAATAGAAGATATACGAATTCTTTTAATCGATAACTCTCAAGGAATTTTACAGTCGCGCACGAAAATTACAAACAATTTCATTAAATATCACAGAAAGCGTATAATTGCATTTTGCCATCAGCTGACTGTACCAAACTATCGAGTACTTGACAATTCTTACCATAGACAACAATTAGATAGATTGGCATCGAGTATAACAAAATGTTCGAACGAGCGCCACGTTGGAACGCGCGAAAGTTTAAACCTCTAGAATTAAATACTTCGTTTAAATAGTACGCACAATAAGATAATAGTAATTCTATTAACAAATATAAATCACTCACAATATTTATTAGAAGTTATTATCAATGTTTTTCATTTACAAGTCCATTATAGGCTAACACTATAACACATACTTTTTGAATTATACTACTCTTACAATTTAAATTTAATACTAAATAGAACATAAATTTATTTTATCATGAATACCAGTTTTCCATTTAAACTACTTTATTATTTGAAATACAGTACACAATGTTTAATTTTTATAATGATTGCAATCTGTCAGTGTCCATTATCATCAATTTAAAGTCTACTTTTTACTAATATTGTTAATATAAAGTACAGTTGCTGTAATTAAATTGCAAGAAATTCTAATTAATGATGCTTGTTGGTAACAACGATTACCTCTATTTAACGGATCACTAAACAATGATTACAAATACAATTATCTACTATTGCTGGCTATGACAACTTACAGCTGTCTCCTATCGATCATTAAATCTCGAAGGCGCCTGTATAAAAGATCCACCAGCTGTTTAAATGACAATACCTCGAACGATAATGAACCCTAGAGACAGCGATTCCCCTTTCTAGCTCCTAAAATTTAAATAAAAATAAAATCACGCTAAAAATAGCTCGCAAATAAAGAACAGACGAGTTCGTGTTCGGATCAGTCGTCGACCACCTATCCCAACTCGTTGTTCATCCTAGTTGACCTCGGGTAGGAATCTCTAATCCATGATTCCGCTACGAGCGAACGAGCGAGCGATCGTCCATCGGCACAATCAACCCAATATGGCGACTGTCTATCGCATCGATTCTCAAACTATCAAACGCGAGTCCCCAGGGGGTCGCCAGGTGACATCAACAAGCCCCTTTCAGTGTGCCGTCTAAACCTCCATGGATACAAACAAATACTTTGGATCATCGTCCGTTGTCCTGTTTAGAGTCCCAATAAAATTTTAAAATTCGCTTCGATTGAGCGGAACTTGTAGCTATCGACGCGTTGTTGCAGAGGGTCGCGAAGTGACGAGGCTTGAGAACCCGCGGATCCAGCGTTTACACGCACGTTGAACGTTTTCCCGGATGGCCCCACGGAAACCGGACACAATGGACCCACTTCCGTTGAGCACAAGGCCAGAAATCGGACGTGGGGAACACACCGCGCCTGTGTACCACCGGCGTTATCTCGCCACCTACGCGCTGCCCCCTACGGCTCGTCTATACGAATCATTCATCGAAACGATTCTTCCATCGTCATCGTTTCCCCTCCACACCCCGTCGACCGTATGTTATGCATTATTTCCATGGTTCGCGCCGATTTTGACCGTCAGTTTGATTACAGGTGCCATTCGCGTTGGACGGTTCTGTTGGAATTTTTGTTAGACCCTTTTCGAAGGCCCGTAGGTCGAAGTTCATCCTCTCGGGACCATCTTGGGTCCATCTAGCGGAAGAGTTCTTAGGATCAAGACGATACGCGGGAAGTTTGTCTGTAACGTTTCCGTAAGTACAGTGACAAAGGTTTATAATAGCTTCTGATCAAACGACAAAAAATATTCGATGGGTTTTGTTGTTTGTCAAATTGTGATGGAAATTGTATTATAAGGCTTTGCTATGTTATTCGGATTCAGAGTCTAGATTGCACAGTTTGAAATGCGTGCAAGAATGTTATCCATGCATAGAATTCAAATCCCGATAATGATAATAGCTTTGTTTTGTAGTTTATAACGAGATTTTCCCAAAACAAATGAACTTCCGGAATGCGACAGTTCTTTTTTTATACGAAGGCAATTTACTTGAAAGGTATCCACGCGACGGGAACTTTCGTAACACTGGAAATCAAATGATCGGGAAACTTATGCTTCTGAAATTTCAGCGCTGTGATTGTATGAAAAGGAGATTGCATCATTCTTTACTTTAAAGAATTTTTATACGAATAGGTGATTGCTCATATCCGGGACAATTAATACATTTTTGATCCTACTATTTTCTGTTTAGTGTTTGAAAATTCAGTCGTAGTGTGTTCATTTGCGTTCTACCACCCACGACGCAATTACATAAATTTAATAATATGTGATCACTATATTATTCAATGCAGTATTATATGTTAGGGGTTCAAACAAGCGAACGTATAATTTTCTCTTGTCGACCGTAACATTAATCACTGAATGAGCATTCATACTCTTTGGACAGACAACCACAATTACCGAGGCGATAAACCATAACGTAATTAATAAGCAGAACTTCTATGCGTAGGTCGAGTACCGTTAATGGCAAGCCACGTGTGCAAGGCTTGACAATTTGCTCCAATTAATACGATTTCTCAATAATTACTCAACGAATCAAATTCTAAAGCCGATAAAACATTAAAAATTACACATGCAACGGAAAAATTAATTCTAATTCAGTTTTTTCCTTAAATGGGATTCTCAAATTCTATTTTGTCTTAGGCCCTACAAAGTTGTAAGGCACCGCTGTAAAAGTATGTTTATAAATTCTAAATTTAGTACATCGAAAGGACGTTTTCTCTTTTCTCGGGTACCTACTTCGCGAAATAGTAACTTTGAAGTTCAGACGAGATCGCAACATGCAAGACGAGTTCATTTTGTCTAGTGGAAGCGTATTCAAAGCGCGGAGAGACAGCGCAAGGTTTTATGGAATTCCTGGGCAGCACTCACCCTGAACACTTCCCACACACTGGCACCCCCGTGAACCTTTTTCTTTGACACGAGTGTAACGTACGCACCTACACGATGCCGGAGGACCAGCACACGCCCGTAAAGGCAACGGACCGTGTTTCCAACTTTCAAGCATTACATTATTAGTTGCCCATTATCGTTCCAGTTATCGTTACTAACGCTCCATTGGAACAAACCAGATGAAAGTAATCCCTCTACGGTTACGATTCATCGCCAACAGAGTCACTGTGATCAAATTTCAACTGCCGCTGAGATCGTCCCTGAGATGCAACGCTAAATTTCAATTTTACAAATTATAACTTTGATTTTACAGTTCCATCGATGTGGGAACGACCACTAAACGGCGAACCAACAAATGAAAATGAAAAAGTTTAACAACATATCGGATATACTACAAACAATCTCCCTCTTGGCTACCTTAAAAGTGGTAGTTAATGGTAAGTGAATAACTGTCTGTTAATTTAATTTCCATAGACCTCACACTATTCATAATTGATAGGACGTTAAACGGATGTTGAAACTTTGATCGGTTAACGGTCAAGGAACTATTCAATTAGTTAATCGACCTATTCATTTTCGATCCGATATTGTCGACGTGTATGCTCTAAAAAATCTCTTTTGTACTCTGAAATCTGCGAATCATAATAGTCGCGGTATTCGCGGCCCTGCAAATTAGCGATGGAATGCACAACAGGAGTGATGTCACTTGTGTGCTTGCGAAATTACGTTTCGTTCCATTGTGCCCCCGTCTGTGCCACTTATGGCACATGAAAATGTCGCGACGATAAAATCGTAGCGCTCCAGCACACGTCGCCAAAGGAAATAACCTAATTTTTGCGTCGCGGGGAGAGACGAAAGAGGAAATAATAATCCATTTGCGTGAAAATAACATAAATACCGTCCATTAAACGCATTCCGAAGCGATAACGGATGGCCTCTCGTGTTTTCAGGACAAACAACCTGTAATGGCGGTTTAGGTCGAGTTGTTTACGAGAGACTTCCAGATCAACAGCTTCAAGGCTTCGACGATGACGTGGTACCGAATATTTACCTATTAATTCTGGCAAAATTAACGCTAAAACGTTTTCGCTTAATTCGCGTGGGAACGTTTCCTCCAGGTACGAGACTCCGCGCCGCCGTTCAGAGTTTTGGAAAAATGTCAGGAACTTTGTCTACGCGATCGAACGGCAACAAACAACTTGGTACGCGCTTGCACGAGCTTCGACTTCCAACCTGGTAGCAGAATCGCGTCTTTCAGCGGGGCTGCAGAGTACGAGGAAAGTACTTGTTACTTAACCAGAGAACAGGCGCAACCAGAGGGCATCGGAAACCTGATGCTGGTGCCAAACAGCGTTCACTTCACGGAAGTTTGTCTCGGCTGTGAGTGCACTTTCAAATTTTCAACACAATAAAACTCAAAAATTCCATTTGTTAATCCTGTTGTATAATCTACTTGACCCCCGAAGAGTTCAAATAAATATCACTGCAAAAAAAGGGCCAAAAGTTTGAACGTAACTTTTTAATGACTTCAACGAACTTATATACGTGTATTAGATTTATGCATTTCGTCTTTGGTTAGCAGAGTTTTGTTTTTGTACAGCGGATAGGATAGAAAGAGAATGCCCCAATAGACGTTACGTGTACGAGAGACATCCGAGGAAGAAACTGAAACTACCGTTGACAGACATTAAGGAAGTTAGCGCGGCAAACAGAACCGACTGCGAGGACAGGTATTACATAATTAAAACGACATTAAGTTCGTAATTGCATGGGCTTTTATTGAGCCCTGCGACGAAGAATAGTATAAATACATTTTCAACAGGTTTATCGAAGTACAGGCACTGTACAAATTTAGTGAAACTTAATAAACTCATTGATAGATTCTGTTCTTAGTTTAATATGACCTTTTCTCTGTGGAAGATGTCTCAACGAATTCAGTTTCATTTGCCGATCGGCGACCTACGACACGGCGCTGAGAAGCTGCGCTCTGAGTCGCTTCACCAGAAGAACGCATCCTGAATTATTGGAGGACGATCCTAATTCCGATTACCTAGAGAATACGTGTCTCAACGGTGAGTAATTAGAAAATAATTTATACATTAAGAAATTGGATCATTTTATCCGTGTTTCGAATTCCCTAGCGGAGCGACGTTGCGATGGATTGGCCGTGTTCGTCAAAGAGGAGAACAAGCGTCTACGGGGACCGTTCGAAGTCGACATTTACACGAACCTAACCCTGGACGAGTGCCAAGCCCTTTGCCTCAGAGCGGAAAAATACTTTTGTCGAAGCGTCGAGTTTGACGAGCAGACGCGACAATGCGTCATTTCGGAGGAAGACTCGGTCTCCCAGAAGGATGATATTGGAATCAGCAGCAGCCCTAGCCACCATTTCTACGATTTGGTTTGCCTGGATAATCGTAAGTGCACCTTGGATACCTGGTAAGCTGAATTATAGCTTACAAAAGAGTATTCTGAAATTACTTTGGTCTTCGATATCCCCGTCACAGTTAATAGAATGAATATAATATAATAATAGAAGGATGACAAAATTATAAGAGATGCCAAATTCTATCTATAGAGTCTTTTACAGTCCAGAGTTTTAACGTTGAGTGTTAATAAAAGTGCAACGATCAATTAGCACCTTTCAACGGTTTATCAGTACCCACTTATGAAGCGTAGATCCGCCCATAGCACGTGGCTCCGAGTATCCAGACAGCAGCTCCTCGTCGCACCTCTTCTCCGACGGACGTCGACCTGACACTGCCTTTCAACGTTACCGGAATTCACGTTTAAGCGGAGAATTCCACTCGGAAATAACCGGGCGCAGCTTGAGCGAATGCCTTGACGAGTGTCTTCGACAGACCAGCTTCCAATGCAGAAGCGCTGTCTATTCCGAGCATTACCATACCTGTCGACTGAGTCGATTTAATCAACGTGACGGTCACAGGATCATCTATGACGCAGATTACGATTATTATGAGAATCTTATGCGTGAGTCTTTGGGCAAAGATATACTTACAGGTTACTTTCGAGCAGCTCGAAACTGTTGTTCATCTCCTTAAAAAACTATAACGCTGTTTCTACGAAATCTCGTTCCACGTTTTTAAAAGAATTCTTAAGGTACAAGTCACTTTTTTATAGAAGTACCATAAGAACAGATATTTTTTAAAAGAAAGAGCATAAATTTTGTAGTATAAAATTGAGTATAAAATGTCCATTCAAGAATATATGAAATTCGTTGAAGTGAAAATAATGAGGAACATTGTTCGATAATCAGAAGGAGTTTTAGCATAATGGTATTGGATGATACATTTTTCATGATGCTGGGGTAAAATTGTATGGACAGATCAATATCTGGACGGAGACCGAGACAACCCAGGCTACCGACCAGATCCATTAGGACAAGATACGAACTTTGGCCGTCCATCTCTCGGAAGACCCGGTTAGACACGAATTTCACTATACATTTTATAAGTTGATAATAAGAAAATCGTTTAAAAAAACAATCAGTGAATATTCATAACGATTAGACTATTCAAAACATAAATATAATTGATGTTGATCAATATCCATGTAAATAAATATAAGAGAAATTTTACATTGCACGCAGGCTACCCAGACGACTACGACAAAGGATACACTAGCAGCGTGAAGCCAGACCGATTTCCGGATCGCCACCCAGACCGATACCCCGATCGTTACCCAGATCGATACCCCGATCGTTATCCAGATCGTTATCCCGACAGATATCCAGATCGGTATCCTGACAAGTACCCAGATCGTTATCCTGACAAATACCCAGACCGTTATCCAGACAAATATCCAGATCGTTACCCTGACAAGTATCCAGATCGCTATCCTGACAAGTACCCAGATCGCTATCCTGATCGTTACCCAGACAGGTATCCCATAAGTGGACACTACCCAATCGGAGCAGGTGGTGACAACTTCCCTGAACCGATAGATCGATATCCTGTCAACGATCGTTATCCCACGGCAGATCGTTATCCTATAAGCGATCGTTACCCGATTGGAGATCGATATCCATCCTCCGACAGATATCCAGTTTCCGATCGATTCCCGATCAGGGGCGGCGATCGTCGTCCAGTTCCTGCCGATCGATATCCGATACCCGATCCAGCTATAGACAGATATCCAACGAACACTCGATATCCCACCGGAGGCGGTAACCGGTATCCAATATCTCCAGGTCGCTATCCAAGCGACAGCGACCGTTATCCCAACACCATAGACCGGTACCCCATTCCAGAGGATCCTTTGGATCGTTATCCTTCAGGATTAGGTGGCGCAAGGCCTCACGCAGATCGATATCCCATCAGTGAAAGATACCCGGACAAGGACCTTTATCCCAGCCGGTAAGCTACGACAGACCAGGACACATTGTTCCCGTTTCTGATCAGATTACGTCGAATTCATTCCGAGCTAAATAGAGGGATAGAGGGAACAGTGAGACGTGATATACTTCGTTCATTATATCTTTTACAATTTCATTTTCTCGGTTATTAACAGAGAGGAAATATTGCTCCCGGTTAAAATTTTATTCCCTGCACTTACGAATAAGTTGAGATATGCAAAAATCAGTTAGAAAATCTGTTTTGCTTTATATCTCAGGAGTGATGTCTCTATTTAACTCTTGTTGATTCAAGAGAATTGACAAAATGCTTCCTAGTCCCCTATCCAATGAGATAAAAATTATCATAGTGCTAGTTGTTGACAGTACATAACAAGTTAGACCAAGGCAGATGGTGCTTGCAATCTATATTATAATAATAGTTAACACTATCCTTAAAATGCTTAATTCCTAGTCCTCTACCTAAGCCAATGAGGTTACATCATCATAGTGCTAGTCGGTGGACCCATATAACAAGTTATCTTGTCTACAATTAATCCTGTAGATACAGTGGAAGTTTGGGAAGACCTTAGCCCAAAAGCAGATGGTGCTATCACCCTAATATCCTCATGGTAGTTCGATATCTCCCAATCCTAAGCCATGAGGATAGTTGGCAGGCCCACATAACAAGTTATCTTGTCTACGTTTAATCCCGCAATCCTGCAGATACAGTGGAGGTTCAGAAGACTTTAGATGGTGCTTGCATCCTAATATCCTCATGGTAGTTCGATATCTCCCAATATGCAGTTGCAAAAACAAATACGTTAATTACACTCATATGCAACTCTTTTCGTTCTCAGATTTCCTCCCCCATCTCACTCAAGCGGCTACCCTGCCAATTATCCGGACGATGGGTACGGGTCACAAGTGCATCCAGAGCGTCCTCATTATGGCGTAGCTGGACCAACGCGTCCCTTGGGCTACGGTGGCTACAGCAACGACGGTAGCATCATCGGCGGCGGCTATGTGGGCGAAGGTGGAGTCTACAACACCCGACCTTTCGGAACGAGCGGTGGTCCTATCATTGGTCGTCCGCCTCTGGTGTCGAGATGCGACGAACAGGACAATTTCCGTCAAGTGGGGCCCCACACCAGGGTCCGAAAGCCGTTCGTCAGACGATACACGACCGCTTCGTCGCTGGCCCAATGCGAAAGGGAATGCGCGGATGCCAGGGACTTCGTCTGTAGATCCTTTAATTATCGTCCTTACGCAGCCCCGTACGGCGCTGAGAGGGACAACTGCGAGTTGAGCGATCGAGACTCCAGGGACATGGACATGGGGAACCCCGTCTACTACGACACTGGCTCCGATTACGATTTCTACGAAAGAAACAACGGCAGACAGGGCGTGGACTCGGAGTGTCTCGACGGTAAGCGTCGTAGCCGACCTTCTTGGACTCCTTGGACTAGATGGAGATATTTATCGCGCGGCTGATTTATCGCAGCGCGTCCACGTGGAAACCATGCGTCGATAAAGCTTCGAAGTATTGTACAGATATTGTCGAATATTGTCACTTGGATCTAGCTTGGAGAAATAAACCGCTTGTTCTTTCCACCGACACGTATACACTTTTTTTTTTACTTTTTTACATTTCGTTTCGAGTACGCGTTTCATTGGTTTTCGATAACGAGGATCTTCTTCGTCTATGAATATTTATCATCGAAGAGAGTCCAAACGATACAGGACATTAGATTATTTTTTATTCGATCTACGATTCTTCGAGCGCAAGTAAATTGTGTGCCTGGTCGTTTTAGTGAGTCAAGTCTGTAGCGAAGACGGAATGGAATTTACTTTAAGGACTCCGGAGGGATTCATTGGCCGGATATACACGTACGGCTATTACGATCGCTGCTTCTTCCGTGGAAATGGGGGAACCGTAAACGTGCTGCGAATCAGCGGTCCTCAGGGTTACCCCGAATGTGGCACGCAAAGAGTAAGAAATCGCCTTATCCCTCTATGTTCTGAAATATCTCAACGTCCACCGCCTCTCATTTCTTGGCCATTTTACAAATCTTTTGATTCCGAAAGCTCTCAAATCTATAAAGATATCTACCCACGTGGGTAAACTTGCATCTACTTTGCTAATTTTTCGTTGAATACCCGCATAATTGAGATTACATTTGACGAACAATTCCAGTACGGCGACACAATGACGAACATCGTCGTGGTACAGTTCTCCGACTACGTGCAAACCGGAAGGGACAAACGCTTCAATCTCACCTGCCTGTTTCGAGGTCCTGGCGAGGCTGTCGTCACATCCGGCTACATCGGTGCCGGGTATGCCAGGTCATATCGATTGAGAAACCGTGCCTTGCACCTGGTGCACTCGCCGTGTCCACAATTAAATATAAAATGCACCGTGCGTTGCATGATTTATGCATACAACACCGGGTGCAAGCACACTTACTTTAATATTGTATAAACACTTCCGACGAAGTCGAGATGTTTCGACGATCCCGAATTTAAACGAAACTTGCAATCCGTGTACGTCGATAAGTACATCCAAGAATTTTCAAGATTATTCGTGTAAATTTACAGGACCATTTAATATACACCAATCGAGAAAGAATTAACAATACTGTAGTAAACATGATAAAATGACTAAAAATGGACGTTTCCTGTTTTCCCCCTTATTTTTCATATAATAAAGTTGAAACCCTTATTCGTTCAAGATGGGGGAAAATGGTGGACGAAAAGAAGAATGGTGTACCTGTAAATTGCACATTATTTGTGCAGAATACTTTTGTACATTTTTGGACGCCATTATCAAATCACTCTGGTAGATGACTTCAATAAATATAAAGAGTTCAAAGAAGCTAAAGGAAATATCAATTTCAATTTCGCTAATAGAATTTACCTTAATACTGTGTAGGTCAGGGTCCCCAATTCCCATTGAGTATCTGCCAGCGGAAAATACCCTAAGTTCCAGAGTACGTTTGCTAATCCTCTATCAAGGTAGACCTACAACCACCATCGCTGTTGGTGACCCGCTCACCTTCAGGCTGGAAGCTCAGGAAGGGTTCGTATCTTTCTTTGCACAACATTCTGTTCAACTGTGCAAAATTAATTTTTTTACACAAGTGTAATGCTTCTGATAGGTATAATTACGTAACCGACATCTTTGCTACCAACGTCATAGCGAGAGATCCTTATTCAGGGAGGAGCGTTCAGCTCATTGACAGATATGGGCAAGTACTATGCAAAATAATGTAATTTTTATTCAAAGTGAATCACATAATTCTATTATTTTGATCTCTCTTTTATCGTAAACAAACAAGTATCGACGATGTTGTTAAAAGTATATAATTCTGAAAACCTAAAAGTCACAATGTTATAGCAACGATCAAGTTCTACGACGGCCTTTCATATTAAATCAGGAAAAAGAATCATTGATCCCATAACAACAGAAAAAGCCCAGATAATGGAGTTCTGTGGTTCACTCTACGGGGGTGTGTCCACCCACAAGAAGAAATAAGAACACGTCGAAGTTCTTTGGAGGGAAATATATTTTTCCTTTTAACGCTAATGCACCGTAGACTGCTTTCCTTATTCGAAAGTCTATTACTTTTCTAGTACCAGACAATAATCTTTAGTATTAATACGAGTTCTTCGTGCAGTTGTCCAGTAGACAATTACGTGTTCCCTGGATTGGACCGTTTGCGAGAGGGGGATAGTCTCGAGGCACGTTTCAACGCCTTCAAGATCCCGGAATCGAATTTCTTAGTGTTCGAGGCAACCGTGAGAACGTGCAGAGATGGCTGTCAGCCCGCGTATTGTTCTGGCGGAACCGGAAGAAGCGAGCCATCGTTCGGAAGGAGACGAAGAGACGTGTCGTTGAATGACACCGTTGACAAAGAAAATGAAATAAGTACGATAATCGAGAATAATGGAAACGACACATCCCCAGCGTCCAATTCCACGGACATCGATGACGTTAACGCGGATGAAAGAGACGAAGCCGAGGAAGAAGAGGAAGAAGAACACGTTAGAGAAATGATCGAGGTACGACAAAGTTCTTTTTGTTGATCCTTAAGGGACCATTCTACTTTTTAGGCAAGAAAAATACATGTTTCTATATGATTTTTTTTGCGGGCTATTAAAGAGCGATTAATTTCGGGTTTTGTGGATATATCTATTATATATTTAACTATATTTACGAATTTTTACAACGCATAATGTCTATTGCTTACGCTGTTTTTGTTGATCAACGAACAACAGTTTTTACGAACGGCGCCTGACTGCGTAGGTGATATTTTGTGAACAAGGTATCCGAAATCCAAAAACCAAAGATATTCTTAATATAGATAAGTTTGGTTATAGCATGAACTAGGATCTTTTCAAAAAAACGAAAAATGGCAAAATGGCAGCTATTTTACGAAAAAATGCTGAATATTTTCATATATTCCGGTGTTTTTTTTTGTTAATAAAAAAAAAGTATTGCATATATTGCAATTATCCTAGGTCATAGTATAGGGAGACTAGTTCTAAAGCTATTATATAAATTTGATGTTGATATCTTGAATAGTTTCGAGAAAAACAGTTTTAAAGTTTCACGTCCAGTTGTTATACTTGCGTGTGGTACATTTCAGCAGACTATAACTTCGTTAGTTTTCCAAATTAATATTTGGTACATATATTTTCGAGACTACATACTAAAAGAAAACGGAAAAAAAATTCGATTTTTTCAATCCCACAAAGTAGAAAGGCCCCTTAACTGGTAACGTGGGGTTGCTATTTATTTTTCTCTAATTTCTTCGGTACTAATGATCTTTGTCATAGGTGCTGGACTCAAGAATGGATATTGACGAAGAGACAGTTGTTGAAAGACAAACTACAGTCATGGAAAGCGTTTGCATTACACCAAACGAATATTATGGCCTCGTGACAGCGGTTGCAGTGCTCGTGGTCCTTCTAGCTTCCGTAGTATTGTTGTCCATGCTGATTTACAGGTATATTGTTTTAATGGAGCGTCAAATTCGCGTTTATTTACACTAAATCGATCGAAATCAATTGTTTCAGAAAATACGCTTACTCGGTAATCACGAAGAACCGTAGAGTTGATAAACCGTGCAATCGCAGCAGCCACTCGGACGACGCTTACAGCAGTCGAGCGAATAATTTTTCCTTTTTGCGAACAGGCCTTCAAAAACCATTCCAATCAACGTAAGTAAACTCTTCGAATCTATTTAACCCTGATTTTCTTAATTAAAAGTAACGTTCGAACCATTTTATTCTGATCCTCTTCAAAAACAACCATAAAGAGGAAGGTACAAAAAATATGATAAAAGTTGCCTGAGGCTGGGTAATATAATACTTGTATAATAATGTATAGGAAGTTATTAGTTACAGATGATGCTATTATGTAAACAATTTTTTCATGTATGAATAATGATACCATTGTCAAAAACTGGTTCATCCATGACTAATAACTTCCTACACTTTATTGTGTAAATATAATATACAATATCTCGTTTACTGTTGCCTTTGCAGCAAAAGTAGGCGCAATAAGAATTAATCGTTGGATTATTTCACTTACAGGTCGATCTCCAGATCCATGAGTAACGTGATTAATCAGCGTGTGAGCTCGTCGTCAACAGCGCTGGAGGGTGCTGTAGGATTATCGTCCAGAAGGACTGGCTTCGACCCCAGTGAACCTATTTACACCGATCCATCGCTATTCGAGGTTGCTCGATGCTCGTCGCCCAAACCAGCACTCAACGATAATTTCCACTTGATGTGAAAAACAAAAAATTCTGAACGAAACTTGAAAACGTTTGAAAACGGAAACATCGACAAGTTCAAATTTGAATGACGTAACTTTTGGATACCATTCGATCTCAATACTACTATTTAACAATCTGCGTTATACTTAAATAGCTTGATCTATAAATAATTGATAAGTTTCATCGTCTGTATTTTTAAACAACACTTTAGCTTTATCGTCGTTTCTTTCAATCATTCAAAAATAACAAATACAGTTACGTTCAGTGCTAGTCAAGTTCACTGACCACTGCCAGCTACGACTGCCATGTCAATAAATTGACAACTGTACCACTCATTGGGGCAATATATGTACCAACCGTTTATTGAAATCGCCACAATAATATGAAACTGCTTTTCCTGATTGTCTTAATTACGTTTATACATATACAGGCACGAATACTATAATCATAGAATATTTTATTGCTTTACGGTAAAACAACGCAATATTTGTTTATATTTGAACGTTAAGGGAGAAAACGTGTAAAATATGTACTCCTATCTACGAAAACAGAGACTAAAATGGTCCAACTTCGGGTTAAAAATACTAACAGAAAATTGTCATGTAGTTAGTGTTACGAACTTTTATTTATTATGATTATATTTCAATTGTATCTAGAGTAGGATATAAATAGATACAACAGAATGTACGTGGAATCCGTTCATTTCTAATCTAAAGGTGTCTGTTTTCTTCATTTTTCAAAACGATCAACAAGAACGTTACGCGACATCGTAGTTCCCATATGCTCGTCGCTCTCTCGAGTCAATCCTCTTTTATTCTATCGAGCTTGTACGTAAAAAGAAGCATCCTCAGTCTGGCCTCCTCTTTGCGATAGTGAGCCTCTTCTAATTTAATCCGAGCCTCCTCTTTCAACATAGCAGCGATGTCGACCTTCATTTGTGCTTCTGAGAGGGCCAACGCGTGCAGTTCCTCGTCTCTATGAAGAGATCTTTTCCCTTTACGAGGTTGCTCGTGAATCGAAGGAGAGATCAACGTTTGCGTTGCGTTCGATTTATATATTAAATGACTTCCCTCGTTTTCTTTAGTAGGCGAGCCCCAATCTTTGGACTTCTCGAAAGCATCCCCCATCGGGCCGTGCGGTAATAAATTAGAATCGACTTTATTGCCGACGGAATCTGAGAAAACGGAGAAACGTAGACGAAATTAATTTTTAACTATACTTTCGTCTTACAATTCTTAAGATGTACTGACGTATTTCCATAAATACTTTATTATAAACTTTGAGAAAATTTCGGATCGAAATTGACACCCTTACGTAACCAGCAAAATTATATGTATAACCTGTATCTTTACAATGATTCTCTTCTTTCAAATTTTGTTTCGGAGGCTTCACGGTATAAACGCTTTGCAACGTAAACGGTTCTGATTCTTTTGGCTCGAATACGACGTTCGGCGGCAACCCCACAGTGCCAGCAGGTATGGGAACTTCTGGTTTGGGGTTTCTATTTTCCCAGTATTTTGATCGTGCGTGATCTTTGGACAACTGGCAGAAACTCTTCGAGATGCTTCGGAAAGAGACATTAATATCAATATCGAAATACTAGAAAAGCACTAAAAAGAAATATCTTGTAAAACGTAAAGCCGACCCCTTCAAAGAAACAAATTTTTTTACTGCGCCATCTTTATTTTTGACGTAAATATTTGAAACGAACGCGACAAACGAAACACCCTGTACACCGATACGAAAATTTATGAATGCGTTGTAATTGTAATTACCGTAACTTCTTTTCCTCCCGATTTCGTTTGCAAGCTTTCATGTTTTCCCAGCATCGCCTTAATTGTACGGCCGAACGCACGCCTTGGGGACCTACCATCGAGTTATAATCGCTGGCAAGTTGAGACCAGGCTGACTTCCGTTTACACATTGATACCGGATCGGACTTCTTCTCTTCGATGTCTTCGTATTTGTTTATCAACGTGATCAGAAGCTCACGTTCCTCGAAGCTGTAGGTTTTCCGTGTACTTTTCAACGACGAAGAAGCCATTTTAACGCGGTGAAAATGCTAGACTATCGTTGCCGTCTTCTGCTGTTTATGTTTCGATGCAAGCACAATTTAATGGCAAAGTTATTATACAAGGGTCAGTGGCGTAGCTAGAGCTTCTGCCACCCAAGGCGGTCCTTCGCTTTGTTCCCCCCCTCACAGATATTTATTTTGGTTTTTGGAAATACAACGATACACAGTATTTCGATATAACTTTGCTGGCATTCTGATTTTCATACCGGTATCGAGTTCTTGCTTTTAAGCGGAATATCATACAAGTACTAGAAATGCCACCTACTGGCAAAATTGATACACTTTGAGCTTTCGTCGCTGAATACCTCATATTGGTAAAACGTTCATGTTTGCAACGAAATAGTTCGTTGACAGACAAGGTATAGGAGTAGACGTTACACCACAAACAAGGTAAACGAGTGGACCTTTCACCTAATGTATTTTTTTGGCCCGTTCCTCAGGGGTCCCGGGACCCCATTAGCATTTTCGTGTCACTCGCAACGTTACCAACAGATTCAGAAATGAATTTTAATCCCTTCCATAGTCAACTCACATGGATTTACGTAAAACTACAGCTGTTTGCCTATCAATATTAATTCAGTGAATAGTTTCTCAACTGACCGCCATCCATGAGAAGAAGACGCTAAAATCACCTCCGAATTTTTCGCTCACGTATGGCAATTGTTCGAACTGACGTACAAAAAGACAAAAATTAACGAGATACACTCTCCCAAAGTGGAACAAAATGTTAAAAATATCATGCATCAAATTGTAAGGGGATCCTCGTAAGAAAGCTTTAATCTTCGTAATGGTTTTAATGGGTCGATGATCAACAATGACTAGCTTATGGTCACTAGAGGTCAACAGTGAGGTTGAAATCAAGGTCAGCGGTCCAGTGAAGATCCAGAAATGGTCAAGAGGTGGGACCAATCGAAATAGTTTCTTTGTAGATAAGATAGTCTTAACTGTTAACTTTAACTTTGGCTCTGACTGGTCTCCCTACCCTTTCATCATCTTAGACATATAGGCAAGGTCACTGCGAAGAATTCTTCAGTCTCGTCGCGAATTCGGGAGAGTACAAACAGCCGGGGACCGCTGCTGATCTCTGCTGGCCGCTGCTGACCACTACTGACCACTACTGACCACTACTGACCACTACTGACCACTACTGACCACTACTGACCACTACTGACTAATGCTCTTACCACTACTGACCAGTGCCGGACGGTGATGGCCTGCGGTAAGAACTGTTTAAAAATTCTCTCCCCTCTTCTATTCTATCATTTGATGCCAATTTTGCTTCAATGAACTGATTTTGCCTTGCTTGTCTAACTGATGTTGCTATAATATGAATATTTTCTTACTTTACAGCTGGCCCAGTGGTAACTACCCTATGTACTGACAACAAGTAGTAAGTCCACTCCACTTATTTATATTTTATTATTTTTATTTGTTTGTTTGATGTGAATTCAATTTTATTTTTCTATCTGATTTTATTTGGTTATTATGAATGTTCCTTTTCTCTGTTTCTACTTTTACATTGTTTTTCGATTTTATGTGATTGCTTTAATATGTATAATGTTACAAGATATAATAATGTAATATTGTTTTCAATCATATACTATATTTGTTTCTGTACAATTTCATGAATTTTTATTTTTACGATCTTGCTCGAATTCTCGTAATATTCTATGGAGGTACTTTGTTGATTCTTTCATTTCCTTTGATTGTTTGGTGTTGATTCAACCTGGTGTCTCGATGGTTGTTTCGATGACACTGATTAATATAAGATTTTTATTTTTACGTTTCAGCTTAAATTCTTGTAACATTTTGCTAATATACTCTTGTAGCGGCCATTGTATAGCCACTATGCCCTTGCCAGAGTATGAATGGGAATGGAATGTAAGGATAGTTTTAAGCTTTCTATTTTTCCATTTTCCCAGGGTCTCGTGCGAGCCTGGTCGTCCTGTTAAACACTTGGCGACCAGAGCCGTGCGAGGCGTCTGTTTTCTTTCGAGGTTTCGCCTGGGCCTCGGACCACCCTGATCCGGGCCCGGCGATCCTCTTGACTTTTACGACTCTCTTTCGCTAAACTTTTCCTACACTGACAAGGAACCATCGCGAACGGTCCGGCTTCGATTTTGATGAAACTTTGTACACTTATAAAGCAGCCAAAAATAATCGACACGTATTTTTTTTTAGCTGCGGTAACTCGAGTTTAAGGGGTGAAACCACCCCTTGAAGTTTTGGCTCGAAACGGCTATCTCGAAAACGGAAAGACATACAAAAAAATTGTTAATGGGCGAGATTGATGGTTTCTTATGTACAATAACATGGTGTTAAAAAATTAAAAAAAATACAATTTGTTTATAACAAAAAAAAATTTATTAACTTAATTTTTCATTTTATTGAAATTTTCATAATGACAAAAAATGACGAGCATTTTATTCCAAATCCATTGGTATGCGGTTTTTTAAAATTGCCTGCTACAGTTTTGCAGATTTTGATGATTCACATCTTGCGCGCACATCCATTATGGTAGTAGCCGTTCTAACTTTGATTTTAATGAAGCATTGTAGGCTTGCACTAAATTATACAGTAACAAGTAACAAGTAATAATAACAGTAACAAGTTTCTTAACAGCAATGAAAAGATTTTCTTTTATGCCCACCTATGACATTGTGGAAATGGGGGAGCGATTTATAAATTATAAATACATACAGTGTGTATACCAGGAGATAAAGATACACTTATTATTCTCATGATGTACTTGCTTTAAAATACAAATTGAATAAATAAATATTGTCATTTCTGCGGCTCGCCTCTGATGCAGTTTACGCACGTTATCTAAATCTTCACTGTTGTGAAAGCATTCTGTGTAATTTGTATAATAAAAATACGTGTCAAATGAGATTAGTATGTGCATCTGTATCTCTGTTGTTATTAACATTCTTTAAAATCGAGACGGTTTTTGTAATAAACATGATAAAATGGGTATATTGAAATGGAGTTTGTATTATACCTTTTGATAACGTGACATATCGTAAAGTTAATTAAATTGATTGCCCTTGTCATGTGAAAATAATATTTGTTGGTAGATAAGTGGGAGAACTTGGATATATATATATATATTGCAATTAGCTCTTTATAAGCGTGTAGAACATTGTTGGTTATCCATACAGCCGATTTGCCGATTCTGGGCATTTAAACGATGCACTTATCCAGCCAATCTTTTGTTGCATATATCCAGCTTTTACTGTATTCGGAAAGATGGTAAATATTAATCCTATTAATGTAATAACTTTACTGTCTGCTGCGTTTGTTGAGTGGAACCAGGGACCCACGCCAATTAATAGCGCAGAAGAAAATTTAAGGGATGTATTATTCGATTTAATTGTAAGAAGTGTCGAAGACACGGCATTCCTGGTTGAACATGAAACGTGTGTTGAAATGGACGGGACGCCTATCGACCAAGAAAATCAGGATGCTGATTTGAACTGGTTGTGGGTAGATGAAGAGGAGGAAAATAGGACACCGAATATTCCAAACATATACGAACAAGACGTTGTATGTCATTCGAATAAGGAATACATCCCATTCGAATATAAAAGGAAAGCTGTGGCGTACTGGAACAGCGGGAAGTCGAAGCGATTAAAATTAGACACCGTACGTTCCAAATTCCGTCACGTGAAATCCGAAAGAATGCTTCGTAAATGGGCTTTACAAGTTGAACAGGGTGGCACAAAAAAGGAAAAGATAAAACGTATTGCAGAGTATACATTTAATAAAATGGAAGCTCGGCAGTTAAGAGTAATTGTGCATGAAGTAGATCTACGGCGATGGGCTTTACAAGCGAGGGACATAGAAAATTTACAAACATTTAAAGCCGGATATACTTGGCTATACACTTTTAAAAAGATGTTTAGATTAGTGTCCAGAAAAATTACCAGATTTGTAACCACAAATATGGTAAATCGAGAAGACGATATTCATTTGCAATGCAGCGCATTCGTGAATGAAGTAAAATCATATATAGCCCGAAATGAACCACACAATGTTTACAATTCCGATCAAAGTGGTTTTAATTTGGAATTACATTCAGGGCGCACTTTGGCTGAAGAAGGTATAAAAATCGTAGATCATTCTTCTATGGCTGAAGAAGGTATAAAAATCCAGCCAACCATTTCAGCTGATGGACAATTACTGTCACCATTATTTATTGTACTGAAACAGAGTACAGGACATTTCGGGCCGATTGTGGAACAACATTTATTTCGCCCTGACAATGTATATCTTGTAGCTTCAAAGTCTGGCAAATTAACTACGGACCATTTCAAGACCTGGTTAAGAGAGATTTACTTCGCAAATACTGGGGCCGCAACAGTTCTAATTCTTGATTCCTGGAGTGGTCACTGTAAGAAGACGGTGAACGAAGTTACTCCCGAGGGTAAAAATGTAAAACTTTTTATAATACCAAAAGGTGGAACAAAGTATGTTCAACCAATGGATGTTTACGGTTTCCGCACTTGGAAAAATTTCGTCCGCCGATTTTCCGATATAGTTCTCGTTTTAAATCACGACATTAATCTCCACGCTAGGAATAATATAATTAAACTTCAATGTCTGGTCCACAATCAATTTTCATCGCCAAGGTTCCAAAATTTTATTAAATACTCCTGGTATAAATCCGGATATATAGATGAAAAGCCAAATGCATTCCAGAATCCTGTTGAGTACTGCTATTCTGTTGAAAATGAGCCAACATGTCATATTTGCGGTGACGTGGCAATAATTAAATGCGCATGGTGTAAGAAATCTTTATGTTTCAAACATTTTTTCGACGAGTACCACTATTGTCGGAACTATATAGAATAATTGTTATACACACTGCATATATTTATAATTTATAAATCGCTCCACCTTTGCCACGATGTCATAGGTGGGCAATAAAAATAATTAATCCTTTCGTTGCTGTTAAGAAACTTGTTACT